GCCCACCCTAAATCCAGTTCACACGGACAATGAATTCAATTGAGCACATTACAGTAAATCCTGCAGTGTCGGGGTGCTGATGAATGTCTTCGGGGTCAATTGGCCATTGCCCCACTGACCTGGGGTCACACATGAGCTGGCTTGTGACGTCACTGTACTGTATAGGATTTTGAACACATTAATAGTTATAGCAAGTGTCGTGGTAGCCCGGAGGTTAAGGAGCTCGTTTCTAATGCAAAAGTTCGAATCTGGCAAGTGCCAATGTGACTTTTTCTGAGTTATATTTACTTTCTATGATTATTTAGACACCACTGACATACGGTGAAGGAAAACATCGTGAGGTAACTTTTTTTGTGAGGGGATAATCATCAAATGACTTCTCCCGCCCATGGTCGGGCGGGAGGGAGTGTCAGACTCTTACTGACTAAAAACCCCACTGTTCCTTCTCCTGCTCTAGGCCAAAGCCGCGGTGCCTCATTGCGCTTACCCCACAACCCCGGCTGAAATCGTGAGGTAACATGGACTTATAATTTTAAATTATAAGTCTGAAGTCGCCTTGAGCAGGCGTGGTGATTAATGCTCAAACTTTCTCCGTGTGAGAAGAGGTCTTTGCTCAGCAGTGGGCACTTATAGGAATGGAATAGGCTTATGGGTTTGAGTGCTAGGTCGCACCATTGCTCCAACAGGCAAATTAGTGGCCCGTTGCAAATAAAAAAAATGTAGCCTGCCAACTGTGAAGGTTATAGAAAATGTTGTGTCTTAATAACAAGTTTGGGAAAGCCATGCTTCGGCACGAAAAGCTCGGCTCGACCGGAATAAAACCACGGCCTCACAGAAATCCGGCGTGAAACAACAACAGCGCTGTGTTTCGCCGTGTGAGTGATGAGACCCGATCCTTCGCCTCCTTCAGTCCCAAAATCTCCAAATCCCCAAAAAGTCGGCAACGCACTCGTAACTCCTATGTTGTTGCGGGTTCACGGGCGGCGCTAATTGCTTACCATTAAGTAATACGTCTGCTCGTTTGCGGACTTATCACATGGAAAAGTCGTGTAAAGGCAATTGATGATCGTCCATAAAAAAGTCAATTTATACTAAAATAATGAAAATAAAATTATTTCAAAGTTACAATGACAAGCCTCATACATATTCGTATTATGTTGGAAACTCATATCGAAACTCGGTTTCAAACAAATTGCGGCCGATTTCCATTTTTTCTCACAAAATCATGCAAAAAACGGATGTAGGGACTGAAAGTTTTAATAACTTTCTTGTATTTCTATCATAGAAGGTATCAGTCAAAGAGATATGTATTATATCATATTTTTTGCGTGTATTCAAAATCCAGCGAGTTTTTTAAACACTAGGGATTTCTCCTGTGTCGTAAGTACTGTTATAACTATACAATCTCACATACATATCACAAATTTGCGGATACACAAAGAGTTGTGGCGTGAGGGAATCAAATTCGCGTCTTGTTTCCAAAAGTTATTATTTGAAATTATAAGACGCTTAAGTGTATCCTCAAATTACAACATGTATACAATACATATATGTATTTATGTAGCAAAGTCTAATGTTTGTTGCAACTCACCAGGTACAGTTAAAAATGTCGATCAATTTATAACTGTGGGAGAGCCAAACTTGGGCACGGATGGGTTTGCTGGGCCGGAGTAATACCACGGATTTCACAGCAGTAAAACAACCAAACAAACAATGAAAAATGTTGTGTCTCGCCATATAAGTGAGGTAAAGGAAGGCCCAATGGTTCCTCTCTTCCAATTTTCAAATCTCTAAATCTCCGAAACGCTTCTCCCCAAAAAGCCAGCAACACTCTTGCATCTCCACGGATGTTGTTGCGAGTGACTATGAGCGGAGCCGATTGCTTTTCATCAAGGAATCTTACGCATATTTGCCGCAATATCACATAAAAAAAAACAATTATATAACAATATATACTTAACTTAGAATCTAATCTTAAACTCTTTTGATTGGCACTAGCCACATACAGTCCAATTATTACGACAAATCACTACATACTTTTAAACATAGTTACAAAAAGTTTCGTGACATAAGCCAACCAAAAAACAATTTGAATTTAATTACTTACATGTGCCGTTCAAAACTTCGAAAATAGTTTTACAAAAACTTCTTAAACCACAAAACAAGCAAACTAATTTTAACTTCAGAGACATTATTCAAAATGAATTCTACGTAAAAATTAATCACACGCGACTACACTATATTACACGAGTAATAATCCTGAAAATTGTTGAAAATACTAAATAATTGTAAATACAGCGGCTATTTACTTGACCACAGTCTATTTTATAGCTGTTGCGGCTAAAATTGGCAACACAGCTCACACAGCGTAGCGTCGAAATTTTACACAAAATTGCAAAAGTTAAGCTGAATTTTCGACCAAAATGGTTCACGTACAGAACGTTAGATAAACTGTACAGTACTATTCTAGTACTTATTAAGATATTTTTATCACAAATTTCATCTTTAAATACTTTTTTATAAATCTGTAATGAGTTTCAAATTCTATAAAAAACTTAAGTGTGGGAGAGCCATCCTTCGACACGAATGGGTCTTTAAAAAACCAAGTGCTGCTATATACATAACTAGCTACTCTCGTGCGGTTTCACCCGCTGCTCGGCTCCATTTGATCGTAGCGTGATATTTTATATAGCCTATAGCACTCAAGAACATTGTAGCTATCTATCAGTGAAAGAATTTTGGCAATCCAACCACCGGTTCAAAAGATTACCCCCTACATACAAACTTACAAATTTTACCTCTTTATAATATTAGTATGATAGACTGGTCATCTGACGTTAAGCTATCAACCATCAAATAACACCAGATGAGAGACAATTGCGTTGCTAGGTGGTTATTAAAAAGGAGTAGGCTCTCTTCTTGAAGGCTTGAAGGTCGTATTGGTTCAGAAAAAACGTCGACTACCATTCGAATCCTCTAGATTTACTGTGTAAGGCAGATATGTATTGCCAAAAACGCGTGGTTATTGCCTGCTACAAGTACAAGTAGTTATAACATTACACTCGGCAAAGATGTAAATTAAAGGATCTTCATTAATAAACTAGTAGACACTAGACTATAACTTCCTTAAAAAAGAGAGAGAAAAGAGTTTCCCGTAATCTTCTATGCATGGCAGGCGTACAAGCAGTACAAAAGAAGACATGTCTATCAAAGACGTTGTCTGTCCAGTCTGAGTAGTTCTTGATACCGGCCTTATAAGGTATTGCAGAGCAAAGGCGTATTTTCACACTGAAAAGAAACAAACATCGATCGCATGCTCAATAAGGTGGATTACAAATGGAGGATGAAAGAAAGAAGAAAAAAGAAAGAAAGAAAGAGGCACAAAATGTATTTCCCTTTTTTTTCTTTTCTTATAGCGGCAAATGATCTCACAGATCACCTGACACATACTAGAGGGGTTAAGAGTGCATTACTGGCCTTTTGGGGATAAGAGTTTCAGAGATTTTGAGATTGGGGAGGGGAAAAAGATTGGACGTCCAGTTACCACACTCATTTCGGTATCACTCCGGTTGAGCCTACCCATTCCTGACAAAGCATTTTACCGTATAGGTATCTCATTGGTGCATTAGACCCTCAATCAAACCCACGGAAAGAGCACAGTCCGTCATGAATGAAATTTATGACCATCCTCATACGGTAGTAAGATTTATAATCAAATCTAATTAGATAAAGGTCAAGAGCCAAGAGAGAGGAAGATGAAAATCGTCAATTGTTCCTTTGTTCTGAAATCAAAGGCCCGAATGTATGTGTCATCGGCGCGACACTTGCAATTTGTGAGGCAGCTGCAGGAAGCTGGACATTGGAGTCATTTAGTTATAATCTTACACCTGCTTTATTGAATGAAACAAGAGTAAACTGTGTTTGTTAAATACAGAAGTTTATATATTAACTTTGCCCCACCATAGAATTTTAACCTGTGTCGTGGGTGCGTTAACAAGCATACAATTTTACATACACTTCACAGAAAAACTGACGCGAAATAACCAGCGTTGTGTTTCGCCTTATGAGTGTGGTTACCGGAGGCCCAATTCCTCCTCTCCCGCAATCCCTAAATCTCCAAATCTGAAATCCCCAAAAGGTTGGCAATGCACTCGTAACTCCTCTGTTGTTGCGGCTGTCAATGGGCGCTGACTGCTTACTATCAGGTCGTTTGCCGACCTACACATAAAAAAACACATCACACCCAGACACGAAACAACAATTTATGGATCACACAAAGAGTTGTTCCGTGCGGGAATCGAATCGCGACACGTTGCACGGCAGTCAGTTGCTCAGCCACCGCCTCAACCGTGCACTCATTATGTAGATGTAAACGAAACAATGCTTATTACAAATCTACTTCATAAGTACTACGCTATTCATAATGTAAGCATATGGGTGTACATAATATACCAAAATAATACCTTTATGAAACTTATGGAGTGCAATATAATATTAAGTAATGATCTAACAGCAGAAACTGCGCTAGTATTCCGTGTTTTTAATTGAACCTTGTTAATTTGAACCTTGTTAAAGAATTTATATGTTACTAGCGGCCCGCCTCCGCTTCGCACGGGTCCAACTATCTCGCTATCACTTTTTCCTAATCTTCCCCTCTACTTTTCTAATATTTTCTTGCTAAGAATCTTCTTCTGACAATTACAAACACAACAAAAAAATAATAAGCAAAATTGGTCCAGGCGTTGTTGAGTTATGCGGTTACCAACACATTTTGCGATCCATTTTTATATATAAGACTAATTCATGCATCATGGTCCCATCAATAGGCCTCATCTGTAGTGGTCTGATGACTCAAAACCTAAGTAAATACATATAAAGACCAGTTTTTATACAGGCAATATCGTACTCATTCAGGGAATATACAAAAACTAAAAAGTCTTAATTTCTAACGTGGATAGCTTCATATAAGATGATAAATAACCCCTGAACCTTACTTGCAGAGACTCAAGCATACCGAACCTGGCCTTCCTTAACATCGACCAGGCGCTGGCAGACCTCGCGCAGTTCATACAGCATGTCAAGAGTGATCAGTTTGAAGGTGGACGGTACAGGTGGGTGCTTCTGCCACTTCTTATTCTTTCACGAGCTAAGATACTTCGGGATCGGTTGAGGTGTAGTTGGGATGGCTTCTTTTATGCCTTACTCTATGTTTTTTTTTTTATGTTTTCTTTGAAATGTTGTTTTCATCGTGTCAGCTTCTAACTGCTTAGTGCTGAGAAAAATTGTCTTCTCACTGGTCAGATTTAGATATGAGCATTAATCACCATGCTTGTCCAAGGAAAATTTGAATTAAAACTTTCATAGAAATTATGAAGATGAGAAAGAATTTCCCAAATCTATATATGTATATGTGTATATAAAATGTATATATGTATATATATATAGGGTAGATAGAGTAGGGTAGATAGAGTGGGGTAGGTAGAGTAGGGTAGGTCGAGTAGGGTAGGTCGAGTAGGGTAGGTAGTCAAATGACAAGAGGTAGGTAAGAGCTGGTTTGATATAAATTAAAAATTACAATATGTACCTATATTCAAATGTAATAAGGTTTATTTTAATCCGTCGTACCTAACCATCTCTATTTTATCGACTTACCAGATCAAAGATAAAGTTAAAACCACTTACCTACTTCATGAGAAGGGTTCAAAATCTTTTAAGAATTCTTAGAAAATATTCTCAAAGCTAAAACTAAGAAGGTGTTTATTTTATTATTAATACAAAATTAATAAACAAGATTACGAACGATTTGTAGAATTACCACAAAACGTCGGTAGACAGATAGGGACCTACCTTCGTTGGTAAACACTGATGAATGAAAAATCAAAGTCCACTTTGTATAAAATAAATGATACCTAATCCTAAATTCTATGAATTGTTTCCATTGTAGAGTTTATCATTTGTACGGAATATTATTTGCAAACTCAAACCAGAAACATGTGACGATATTTGTAATGACGCAAATGGCCCTAGCTCTTAACTTAGAATACCTAACCTTGGCTGAGTACTAAGTTTATGTTTTTGAAGCCCTTATCAGTTGTATTGTGGTATTTATTTGTACTATTACGTACATTAAAATAATGCGCAACTTTAATGACGTTGATATAATTATTTTTTTTATTAAAATAGATAAGTGGAAATAAATAGTTATACGCGTAATGTAGTTTTGCTATGATAATTTTTTTAGGCGGTTCGTTTACAACTTCGACAAAATGTTATGTGAGTAGTTTCCTAGGTCAAGAATAAATTAATTCGACGTTTTAATGTAATAAAATATTGAAAAATAACTATATTTATTTTTTATTTTTATAAAATAAACTATACTTTTATTCATCGATCTATCGATACACTAAGTTTTAAAAGAGACTGACCTCTGAGTTTGTTTCGGCATTTCTTCTCAGAGTAGTCAGATAGGAAACGCCGGCTTCATCTAGTTCTTCACATATAAATTGACGTGTAAAAGTGCCGTTTTATGGCTTATTTGCAAAAATAAATTCATTGTTTCATTGTATAATTTTTAGGTAATTATAAGAAAGTAAGTAAGCTATTTGACGCAGTACAAATTTCATAGAAAAGTATCGTTTTTGAAGTTTGGATAAAAGTATTGAATTTGACTTGTTGGAACCTACCGGATTGCAAGCGTTTTAATAAATAAGTATTATAAGTTCTTAATATCAGATACAAAATAAGTTTAAATCAAGGCTTGATTAGTTTAATAAAGAGATTAGATATTATACTACTATACCTTCAAATGAGTTTCATACCTTGCCTACTTACCTATATGAAAATGAATAGTTTTTAGACTAGTTTTTTTGACCCGTCACGCATTTGGTGGCTCTGGTGATATATTATAATCCGCTTACCATGAAGCGTGAGGTAGCAAAGGGCTTGGTTGCTGCGAATAAAAGGGAAAAAATAAGTATCTAATAAATTAAAATACTTACCGCAAAAGTTATTAGTCAAATAATTAGGGTTTAAAGGATGCAGCCAAATGTTAAATTTCTAGAATTAAATTTGTTTCATTATATTCAGGAACGCGAGTGTATCTCTGGTGGGGTGTTCGTACGCTGGTACCATGGCCACGTGGATGAGGATGGCATACCCTCACCTGGTGAACGCTGCCTTCTCCGACAGCGGACCCTTGCAGCCTCAAGAGGAGTTTCCAGGTAAGAGATGCAAGATGCAGTTATTAAGGGGTCTGAATTTTAATAAAATGCGCTTGAAAACCTATAATGAGCAATGCCATGAGTAATAATTATGAAAAATCTGTTTATTTCAATTAAATACAGTTTTATGGAATTCTTAACTTAATTTTTTTATGTAATAGGTCGGCAAACGAGCAGACGGATTACCTGATGGTAAGCAATCAGCGCCGCCCAAGAACACCAGCAACAGAAGAGTTACGAGTGCGTTGCCATACTTTTAGGGATTAGAATTTTGGAGATTTAGGGATTACGGAGGGATCGGGGGAGCGGAAGGATTGGGCCTCCGGTAACCACACTTACACGGCAAAACACAACGCTGAGGTTGTTTCACGCCGGTTTTCTGTGAGGCTTTGGTATCACGCCGGTCGATCCGATCGTGCCGTAGCATCAAGCTCCCACACTTATCTTAAACATAGAAGATTTTCTTTAAGGAGTTGCTTTTCCATTACAATTTATTAAATATCGCTCGAATATGTTATAGGTCTTTTTATTTTTGTTTTCCATTTTACAAACTGTGTTTTGGCAACATGACATTCTTTTCTCTCAACCATAATTGTTATAACATTTTGGTATTTCAAAGGTATATGAACAAATCCTTAACCACCCTGGATTCCGACAACGACTTGTAACTCCTTCGGTGTTGCGGGAATTCATGGGCGACGCTGAATATCCACAAAGAGATCAGTCACCTCGTTTGCCAATCAATAAAACCTGAATCGTTTGTATCTGGGAAAAAATAAAACTACTTTGCAACATTAGCAGCGAGACCCCAAAACACCTGAGGGAGCAGTTTCCCTAATCGAGTGTACTCGTTCAACCGATTATCGACTAATTTACTTCATCCCCCTCAATCCCGGGAGTGTTACAGGCCAGCTACACTGTATCGACAAAACAATTTCACTGTTTAACGTAAAATAGTCCTTAATCTCAAAGAAATGAGTTTGTGAGTTGAGTGAGTGAGTTTGAGTTTCCTTAAATTCTCATGGGTTTTTTTGCCAATAGAGGTCTCTAGGTGTGGGATCTTGGAGCCGATCCCTTGATTGGTAAACTGTATTAAGTTTTTACTTGACCTTTCATTATCAAATTGTTATTGGAAAACAAGTCAGGTCAGGACGTTTTTAATGCTGGGGTTGCGGGGTAAGCGCAATGTGGCACCGCGGCCCCGGCCCAGAGCAGGAGAAGGAACGGGGGGTTTTTTAGTCAGTAAGAGTCTGACACTTGTCTGTATGGTGCCGGACATTAAGAATACCACCATCCCATTTCTTCCCGTGGGTGTCGTAAGAGGCGACTAAGGGATATTTCCTAAGACCGTGCCTACTAATAAGCACTTTAGGTCACCGTGTGGGGTCGGTTAAACTAGCAACAATAGCATTCCCAAGGAGGGTTAGCGTCAGGCAGGCGGCCGACTGTAAAATACTAGCCAAAACTCTAAGCAATATGTCAGTTATGAATGGAATGCGCGATAGTGTTAGGGCGTACCCCGCAGGCGACGCGCAGGGGCAGCACCCGGCTCCTGTGGGAAATGGACCAGGGTTGTTGCACCAGCCCGGGCGGGTGCAACGTAAGAAGTTAGCTCGGGAAATCAGATTGAGGTATGCCAGTTGGAATGTCGGGACTATGACTGGAAGGGCCAGAGAGTTAGCGGACGTATTGAAAAGAAGACGAATAAACGTAGCGTGCTTACAAGAGACTAAATGGAGAGGAACAAAAGCGAGAGAAATTGGTGAAGGGTACAAGTTCTATTACTGTGGAAGTGATGGCAAAAGAAATGGAGTAGGAGTAGTGTTAGATACCAAATTGAAAGAAAGCGTGATGGAAGTACATAGGATGAATGACCGAATTATAGTTGTGAAAGTTATGTTAGAGAATGTTATGTTGAATGTAGTTAGTGTGTATGCACCACAAGTAGGATGTAATGAAACGGTGAAAGAGAAGTTTTGGGAGGATTTTGATACGGCCTTAATGAACATCCCTGTACATGAGGAGTTGATAGTGGGAGGTGATTTTAATGGACATGTGGGAAGAATGAGAGGTATGTTTGAAAGAGTACATGGCGGTTGGGGTTTTGGAAATCCAAACAATGAAGGAGAGACACTGTTGCAATCCGCTACTGCATTTGATCTAGCAGTAGCCAATACGTGGTTTCAGAAAAAAGATGAACACCTGGCCACGTATAAAAGTGGTAATCATAAGACGCAAATAGATTACTTTCTAGTTCGGCGCAACCACTTAAAGTATGTGATGGATTGCAAAGTGCTGCCAGGAGAAGACTTAGTCTCACAACACAGACTCCTGGTTATGACATCAGTGGTTCAAATTCATTGTAGGAAAACGAAAGAGCGCCCGCCCCCTAGCATAAAATGGCACAGGCTAGAGAGGAATGACTGCGCGAAGAAGTTCAGAGAGCGGGTGGTGGATAGAATGATAGAGATAGGAGACATGAATGATCGAAGTATAAATGAAAGCTGGAATGAGATGGCAGAATGTATAAGGCAAGCAGCGAAAGATATTTTGGGAGAGACGAAAGGAAAGGGCAGAATAGATAGAGATACATGGTGGTGGTCGACAGGAGTTCAGAATGTATTGAAGGAAAAGAAGAAAAAATTCAAGGAATGCGTACAAACAGATAATGTTAGTTTGAAAGCTGAAAGAAAGAGTGAGTATGATGCTTTAAAGAAAAAAGCAAAGAAAGCCGTAGCAATAGCTAAAGCAAAAGCCCAGGACAAACTATATGATACATTAGACAGTCCTGCAGGCCAAAAAGAGCTGTACCGACTCTCTAAAATGAGGGAAAGAAAGACGAGGGATGTTTGCCAGATAAGATGTGTAAGAGATGAAAGTGGAATGGTTCTATCGGATGACGACAAAATCAAAGAGAGGTGGACGGAATATTTTGAAAGACTTATGAATGAGGAAAATAATTGGAGTGGGGTTTTAGAGAATAAACCAGTGAATGTGGGGTTAGTGAGAATAGTTAGTATGGAGGAAGTCAGAGTAGCAGTGAACGGAATGAAAAATGGTAAAGCCATTGGCCCAGATGGAATACCAGTTGAGGTGTGGAAGTTATTAAGAGTAGATGGATGGGTGTGGTTGGCTTTGTTCTTCAATAAATTGTTGCAGGAAGAAACCATACCTGATGAATGGTGCAACAGTTCTTTGGTGCCCATCTTTAAAAACAAAGGTGATGTCCTTGAGTGCAACAATTATAGAGGAATAAAGCTAATGTCGCATACCATGAAAGTATGGGAGAAAGTTATTGAACGGCGGCTGAGAGAAGAGAGTGACATTTCACAGAACCAATTCGGTTTTATGCCTGGTCGTAGTACAACGGATGCCATATTTGCTATACGCCAGTTGTGCGAAAAATACAGAGGTGCACATAAAAACTTGCACATGGTATTCGTTGACCTCGAAAAGGCATACGACCGGGTACCTCGTGAGGTTCTGTGGTGGGCCCTTAAGGAGAAAGGTGTGCCTGGGAAGTATGTGCAGTTGATCCGATCAATGTATAGTCGCTGCAGTACACAAGTCCGGTCTGCAGCGGGCACCACTAGCAAGTTCAATGTGGCTGTCGGTTTACACCAAGGGTCAGCTCTCAGCCCTTACCTCTTCCTGATAATAATGGACGCTCTGACGTCGGACATTCAGGAAGAGGCTCCCTGGTGTATGCTGTTTGCCGATGATATTGTGCTGGTTGCCGAGAGTGCCCTAGAGGTCCAGAGCAGATTGGAGGTGTGGTGGCATAGACTGGAGAGTGTTGGCCTAAAATTGAGCAGAACTAAAACAGAGTACTTGTTCTGCGATTTTGGCGGTCTCTCTAGTTCTGTGCCCATAGCTCTCGCCGGAACGCCCATACCAACCTGTTCTGATTTTCGGTACCTTGGCTCGCTTATCCAAGGAAATGGTGAGATAGACCGAGACGTGGCACATCGGATCAACTCAGAATGGATGAAATGGCGACAGGTCACTGGAACAACTTGCGACCCACGGATGCCCCTCAGGTTGAAGGGTAAAATCTACAAGTCAGTGATAAGGCCTGTCCTACTGTATGGGTCAGAATGTTGGGCTCTGAAAAAGACGGATGAAAAGCGATTGCATGTAGCAGAGATGAGAATGCTGAGATGGATGTGTGGTGTGACGAGAATGGATAAAGTGAGAAATGAGTATATTAGAGGAAGTTTGAAAGTGGCGCCAGTGACTGAAAAGTTGAAAGGGAACCGTTTGTCTTGGTATGGCCATGTGAAAAGGAGGGATGAAAAGCATGTAACAAAAAGAGTCATGAGTATAAATGTGGATGGATGGAGAGGGAGGGGGAGACCAAAGAAAATATGGATGGATTGTGTGAGAAGTGATATGGAAGACAGAGGAGTTAGCGATAGCGTGACGAGTGACAGGACAGAATGGAAGAAAAAAACATATTGCGCCGACCCCAAATAAAACGGGACAAGGGCAGGAAGATGATGATGAAGAGTCTGACACTCTCTCTCGCTTTATCCTGGGCGGAAGAATAATTTGATGACTTTCCCCTGACAAAAAAAAATACGCGCCGTATGCTCGCGTCTGGTTCTGGTCGGACGGCTAGCTACCCATGTTAGTTGTCCGCATTCCTAGCTCGATCGACGACTCATCGGTGGCAGAGGCGTGAGGCGGATAGTTCCCTTACACGGTCCGCCTCCTCCTTTGCGAGCATCACTGTTTCGCAGAACGAGGAGATGGCTTTCTACTTCTCGCTCCACACCATGGCCTCAACTAAGGTCGAACGCGAGAAGTCGCTGCCGCAAAAGTGTTATGCTGACGATCATTAATAACCAGGAGAAATATAATAGTGATGAAGGATGTCCCCATCATGAAACAGGGTTACCATACTCACAATTATGAGACTGCTGTTTTTCGATCATTAACCTACTATTTACCCTTTGCAGAATACTTGGAAATCGTGGCAAAAGCCTTGGCGGAGCAGGGTAGTCAAGAGTGTGTGGATGCCATCGAAGCAGGAGTGCAGGGAGTTTTGGACCTGCTGGCCACCCCCACGGGGCCAGCCCAGGTCTCCGAAATATTCCAGTTAGTGTCTTAGTCTTCTGAATGTAACCATATCATTATGGATGAAAGTAATAAACAGTCCCCATCATTATGTTTGGATTTAAGTCAAAGTTAAACCACAAAATGAATTTTACGTTCCAATATAGCTATGACTAGCGACTGCCGCGCGATTTTGTCATAGGGTAAGGATTTTAGCTTATACGACTAGCACTCAGGAACATTGTAGCTATACATTAGTAAAGGAATTTTGAAAATCCGACCAGCAGCGGTTCCAAAGATTACCACTTCATACAAACTAACAAATCTCAAATTTTACTTCTGTATAATATTAGCATAGATCATAAGGTGTTTAGACTAAAAGAAGTTATTTCTTTCACCCAGGACGTGTGAGCCACTTAACGCAGCCTCTCCGCTAGATGTCACTTTATTCTTCGGTAGCACTGTCATCTACCATTATGCAGCTCTGGTGCAGTACGCCACTGGTACTCAAATTGCAAATCACTGCAGAATACTTCTTGCAAGTGCTGAGCGTAAGTACCGATCCTACCAATTGTTGAAACACCGCTATATTTTCTTCTGTCTCTTTTTTAGGGGGCAGTAGTCAAGCTTTCCTGTCATTTTTAATTGATTTTCGTCATCGTTTGAGTCGATTAATCTGTTAGCCATACTATACATGTTAATCTGAAATATCTGGTGATTAATGGTTTCCTTTGCAGCGGATCCCGTAAGACGACTGGCGGCAGTGATTAGAAGAGATGAATGCGTAGAAACTCGCTACTCGGTGTTGATAGAACAATACAGAAACACCAGTTACGATTCACGTCTTTCCACTTGTAAGTACAATACAATAAAAATAACTATAAATATTCAACGAAGCTAAAAATTCAAAGTCGAATCAATCTTTTAACAAGTTTTTAATCATGTGTCTTCTTCATCAGAGTGATTATCATATCTACTTAGCCCAAATTCGACATCGTTATCATCAGCTTGTTTCTGTCCATTGCTGGACATAAACCTTAATTGCACGCCACTGAACTCCATATTCAGCTCTTCTCATCCAAGCACTGCCAGCCACCCTGCGGATATCGTCAGTCTAACTAGCTAGACAACGCCTTACACTACGTTTGCCTAGACGTGGTCTCCACTCTAGAACACATCTACTTTAAGGGTCATCGGTTCTTCGACATATGTGCCCGGCCCACTGCTCCTGTGGGTTATGTCGACGACTTTAGTTCTCTGTAGGATCAGAACCGTTTTGAATTCTATGTTTACTATTAAGTAGGTCAAAGTTCCATTAGCCACCTTCCAATTTCGCGATCAAACAAGCTCGATGGTAATTTCACATTCAAGTCATATAATCTACTTCACTACATACCTAGTATAAAACAAAGTCGCTTTCTCTGTCCCTATATTTATATTGAAATCTCTCTTCTCTCTTCTCTTTCAAATATGGCGTCAAAAAGTGTCAAAGTGTAAAAGAAAAAAAAATATATAAAAAAGTCAAACAAAATAGCAACAATAATAAAAAATAAAAAACAGTTTTATATATTCAGATCACTACCTGCATATTAGGAATTTCAAAATTTTTCTCAATAAGGAATTCGCTGACAGTATAGTATGCTTTATGCGTTAGAAAACTTCGAAGCCTGTTTTTAAACAATGGTAGTGGTAATTCTTTCCATTGCTTAGGTAATTTATTATAGATTGCCGGAGCCATGCAGTAGACACTCTTCCGCATTAGTGCCGTTTTGGCTGGGTGGGAGCACAGTACATTATTATCTCGTCTGTTACGTGGAACTACATCGGCCAGACGTTTAAAACGATCTGGGTTGGACTTTACAAACACAGCTACCTCCACTATGTACAAACTAGGCAATGTTAATATTTTATGCTCTTTAAAGTATGGCATGCAACTATCAGTAGACCTTAGCTTAAACATCGCCCGTAAACACCTTTTCTGTGCTTTAAACACCGTTTCCCTTTCGGCTGAATTTCCCCAGAATATTATACCATAACGTAAGTGGGATTCTACTATGCCATAATAAGCAGTAAGAAGTACATCTATGTCAATTATTGGGGATAATGATCGTAGAGCGAAGGCGGACTTACTAATTTTCTTACATAAGGCATCAGAATGTGCTTTCCAATTTAGATTTTTATCTATTACGAGTCCCAAAAATTTTGTACTGTCCACTTCTTCTACGACTTCATGGTTGTACTGTATATTAGGACGCGTGCTAGGAATCCGCTGACGAAAGTGTACAGCTTTTGTCTTTTTTAAATTTATTTTTAAATTGTTTGCCTCTAACCAATATACAACACTATTTAAACACTTATTAATGTCCGATTCGTATGTTACCAGATTTTTACATGGAATTGTCATAGTGCTGTCGTCTGCAAACAGTGTTAATGGGTGTTCAATACATTTAGGTAGATCATTTATGTATAGAATAAATATAAAGGGACCTAGTACACTCCCCTGCGGTACTCCATACATAACTTTACGCTCTGAAGATCGATATATCTCTTCGCGCTTGCTAACTGGATTAATTTGGCAAATTTCAGTATTTTGTTTTCGGTCTTTTAGATAACTCTCAATTAGTCTAAGTAAATTGCCTCTTATACCATAAGCTTCAAGCTTACTTGTAAGAATTGGATAATCTACGTGGTCAAAGGCCTGTGTCATGTCACAGAATATGCCACATACAGGTATTCGATTATTGACATTTTGAATAACATTATATATGAAGTCGAATATAGCCATATTAATAGTCCTATGTTGTCTAAACCCTTTCTGTTCGTCACACAGAATGTTATTCTTTTCAATAAATTTGTGTAACTGTAAATAAATGTACTTCTCAAATATTTTGGAAATCACAGGTATAAGTGCGATTGGTCGGTAATATTCCATTAATTCTCTGTTCTCTTTCTTAAATATCGGCTTTATTATTGAAGTTTTTAAGGCATCCGGGAAGATTCCTGCGCTGATACTAAGGTTAATAATATGACTTAGATGACCACATATTTCGATAGATACGCATTTAAGTATTTTCGTACTAACGCCATCATATCCTACACTATTTGTGTTACTCAAAGACATTATTATTCTATGTATTTCTACCGGTACACTAGGCGACATGAACATTGATTTAGGGCTCGTGTTAATCTTAGTGTAGTTGGACCTGGTGTCTATCTGCTTTGGTTGTATTTTATCAACGAAGTAGTTGTTGAACGCTTCAGCAATATTTTTGGGATTTGAGACAATATGATCACCAACCTTAATGTTAGAAATTATTTGTTTAGGTAAATTATGTTTAGCGCGGTTAATAATTTGCCACGTAGCTTTTGATTTGTTTTTAGACAGTTTAATATTTTGATTATTTAGTGCCTTTTGTGTTAGTTGTATAATTTTTTTGTGCAATTTTGAATATTGAGAGAATTTATTTTTACTTTCTTTATTTAAATTTAACCTCATCTGCCACAAGAGCTTTCTTTTCTTTCGGCTACACAATTTAATACCTCGCGACAGCCACTTAGGTTTTTTAATAATATGAATTTTGATTAATTTAATAGGAAAACACAAATTATACAAGAGCTTGAAAGAGTCAATGAAGTTGCTATAAGCAATGTTCGGGTCGTTCGTTTCGTAAATTTCATAAAAGGAAAGGTTTTTCATGTAGTCTTTAAACTTGGCTATGTTTTCCACACTATAATCCCTTTTAGCCGCATACCAATAGTTTATTACACATTTTGTCTGAACGGGACAGTGAAAGAGCTGTGACGTATGATCGGACAAAGCGAATTCAAGCACTTCAGTTTTACAAGATTTACTAAAATTATGCGCAAAATTGTCTATGCAAGTGTTGCTTGCCATGCGGGTAGGCTGTCTTAATGCCAATTTCAAGTTATATCTCATTAACAAATATTCAAATGCATTTGTGTGGTTATTTTGTTTAAGAATGTCTATGTTAAAGTCTCCGGCAATAATAATGTTTTTGTAACGTGCTCGTGATATTTCTTGCAATACAGTTTCGAGTCTTTCCAAGCAATAGTTAAGATTATTTATATTTGGTACTCTATAAATACATACTACAGCTGTTTTATAATGCGTCAGCTCAATAGCACAGCATTCAAATATACCTGAACAAGAGAAATTAGCAATTTTAGTTAATTCCTTCCATTGCAAACCACTTCTAGTTAGAATACAAGCCCCTCCCCTTTTTCTTTCCTTTCTACAAAAATAGGCAGCTAAAGAATAGTTTGGAAGATGTAACTGATCTTGGTATCCTTCCATAATAAAATGCTCTGTGATGCACAAGACATCCACTTTTATATTTTTGTCAGTAAGTTCACCTAAACACACAGTAAGAAAATTAGATTTTGCTATTAAGCCTGCGATATTTTGATGCAGGACTTTGAGATATTTATTACAGAAAAAACAGTTCACCCACTTGATCACCATTGCATTGAGGTGGGAGTTGGGATGCCCCATTAGGTTCAAGGATTTGGATGCTGTCGCTATCAGCAGTACAAAATTGATCATAGTCAATAAATATTTTTGATCGGATCTGGGAAAAGATTTCCCTCCAGCCGTATTTGTTGATTTTTCCTGTGTTATGCGAAAACATGTCAAGATTCAGGCTATAATTGCTGTCAAAAAAGTATGCGTATTGATTGCTTTTTATGTCAAGACTGAGGAGGTTATTGAATAGCTCGACTCTGTAATTATGTATTAGTGCGCCTCGTATAAAAGTCGGTGTGCATACAACAATGTTTGTGTGGGTAATGTTTTTCAGCGAGTTATTAATGTTTTCAAGAATATAGCTATTTTTTATATCGTTTTCTCCAATGAAAATCAAGCAATAGTCTTGGATTGTAAAGTCTTTCAACTTTTCTTCGACGGTGCGTAGCAGATTTTCTGTTGCGACGTTGTGGAGCAAATAATGACAGTAGTCAAATCGATCAGAGAAGACCTCGTCGATAATCGGCAGTGTTCCCTTAGTACACATACTACTCATTATAGCCAGCTTATTTTTATGTTTTGGTATTTTTGGTCGACAAACGCCTACAGTTTTTTTTATAGCAAAATTACTCAGATATGGCGTTGATGTTGGGTTTTGGTTTTCTTTTAATGTGGTATGAGTCAACTCGAAAGTTTGTGTTTCTTTGTTCATTGTGGCTTTTTTCTGCTTGCAACAATTGGGCGAAGTCTTGGAGTCGTTATTTAAAACAATTGTTTGCATTTTACAGTGCTTGGATTTATGTGTACTAGATGATGATGGTGTGCTAATTTTTCTTCCAGGCGTTAAGCAGATCTTTTTACATGTCTCTACGGTCTTTAAAGCATTTTGTAAATCTGTTTTCAATCGGAAGTTTTCACTGTTGAGATCGTCTATTTCCTGATGAGCACTCATAAGTTGCATTTTAAGCGTATTTATTTGTTGTTTTAAGTCATTAACAAAATCGTCGTCATTATAATTATCGAGGAGGCTATCTGGTATGCTCAACATTGTGGTGTCAAGTATTGTTTTTTCGTCATTCGTCAAAACAGATAAGTTGGTCAAGGAGCCAGTGTTATGTTTGCGGAGTGTGATATTATCTGTATCCATTTTTATTTATACTATAATTCAGGAGTCTTAATTAAATTAATTACTAAAAATCGAAGGAGTAGATTTTTGATGAAATAAAATCTCACAAAAAATACTTGAGGTCCTCGGTTTCGAACTTGGATCATAGGCGAATGTCTGGTATGTGTAGCGGCTTATCCAACCGAGCTACAAGGTGACCAATAATTATTGTTGAAATTAAGTATCGTATGATAAAGATACGAAACATTTGAATTTAGCGAAGCGGTGGGTAATGTGTTTAAGTTTTTTTTTCCACTTAACGTAGGTACATCTTTGTTCGAGTCACTAATGTAAACACTTTTATTTTAAATATGATCACTTTGAATACAGTTTGGTTGATTGTTTTGATAGCATCAGTGTTGTTGTTGTTTTTAATTGTCACTTTTGGTACAGTTTTTGGGGTTTATTCGAATAGTTATGGTTGTTATTTTAACACTTATTATTGAGGTCACTGCTGAGTTAATCACTTTGATAACGTTTACACTGATAATTTAGGTCTCTATACATATATTTTAATTGTTTTAGCAATAGAACAGGATATTAAATATTTTTAATTTAAATGTAAACACGGAGCTTATTTATTTAGATGTCAAGCGAGACAGCGCCATCTCGCGGAAAAAAATGCAGCCTAACATGCTTGCCTAGCATGTTTGTTAGCAGTTTCTGTATTAATCGCTTATAAAAATGGTGATAGATCACCATTCCTACTTCATATGAGTTTAAACTTACCTGCATAACATGTGTCGGTATGTTTCGTGGAGTAATATCACCACGAGACTGGTTATGAGTCGCTAAATAATGCATGCGGCGACACGGCTGCAAACATCTGCAAATCAAACGGCGACGACACGACAACGTCACGACATCCCCACGACCACCGGACGACACACGGACGGATTGACTATCCAACTATTCAATTATTCTAATTTAGAAAATGTATATATACCGATCCATGCCGTGGTGGCTCGCATGGTAAGACGCTTCTCTTCCATGAGGGTGCGGGTTCGAAACCTAGCAAGTACGAATATGACCTTTTCCGAGTTATATGTACTTTCTAAGATTATTAAGACAAAACAGACCTACGCGTACGGTGAGCGAAAATATCATGCAGAAATCAAATCGCTAATCCGCCTTGAGCAAGCGTGGCGGTTTTTTTTATGTAATAGGTCGGCAAACGAGCGGACGGGTTACCCGATGGTAAGCAATCAGCGCCACTCGCGGATACCCGCCACGGAGGAGTGACGAGTGCGTTGCCAACCTTTTAGTAGGTAATTAGGGGTTTGGAGATTTAGGGACGGGGAAGGATATTTTTTTTTCTACTTGCAATAAACTAATGCTTGACTGCGATCCCACCTGATGGTAATGTAGAATGGATAGGGGAAGGGGAAGGGGAAGGATTGGGCCTCCGGTAACCTCACTTTCACGGGGATACACAACGCTGTGGTTGTTTCACACCGGTTTTCTGTGAGGCCGTGGTATCGGTCGAGTATATATCGGTCTCCCACACTTAAATTTGACACAGATTAATGTACGAACCGAACAATTTTTTTTCAAGAACCGCACTATCTGTAGATTTAGTCGACAGCATCGAATTGGAGACCCCTTTACAATTTAAGAGAAAAAAAGTACCGAATTGTCGGGTCTATCGAACGGTGTGTCTATGGTAGCCGACGCATAATCTGTGTGCGCGACAATTAGCATGGCATCTACAATGCAGATGGCGCCTCCGTCGCGTCGTCTTACAACAATATCCCATTCATGGTACCCGGAGCTAGTGAAATGGCGGTTCATCAACATATTTCTTAGTTTTTTATGGTATTAAGTTATTGTAAACTCTTGGAAGAAGAAAAAGAAGAAGAAGTAGAGCATACATGATTTTGTGTTCCCTGTTTAGTTAAGTTTACATTTCTTTAAACGAAATTCTCCTAACTTAAGAAATACCCCTGTTTTGTATTATTATTCACTAGCTACTGCCGCGCGGTTTCGTTTCGTTTCGTGGGATAATGTTTTATTTAGCCTATAGCTTTCAGAAAGTACATTGTAGCTAGCTATAGCTGAAAAAATTTTGGAAATACAACCTGTGTTTCCAAATATAACCCTCTTTTTTTAGTTTTTCTTTTTTTGTGTGGGGAATATCATCCAATGACTTCTCCCGCCCAGGGTCGGGCGGAACGGAGTGTTAGACTCTTAATGACTTAAACATCCCTGTTCCTTCTCGCCTGCCGGGCCGAGGCCGCGGTGACTCATTGCGCTTACCCTGCAACCCCGGCTGAACATCAGCCCTAATCTGTAGTGGTTTGTTGGCTCTTTGAGGCCCGCGTGGAACGCTACGCGCCCAAAGACTACCCCTACACACAAACTCAGAAATTTTACCTTTTTATAATATCAAAATGTGTTAAAATCATGTAGCTCTCCAGAAAAACTTATTTAAATACTAACCTAAGTTTTTAATCACAACGATACAAATTTTCCGCTCTATCTCAATATCTAGACAGACTTAATGTTTTTTTTTTGTCGCTCAAGTTAACAAAAGTTGTACTTAACTTCGAACTCATCTGAGATTTGAACCGTACAGTTGACATTTAAAAGTCATAACTCCAAGTTTAAACTTTGACCGTTATAATCTATTTCTTTTTTCTAGAAACTGTAGAAAATACTTAATAAAAGAAACTTCCTCTTACCTATTATATGAATTTATTATTCATGCACATCACACGTACAGTCAGTGGGAAAACTAATACAGAGTCAAACTCTTCAGAGTTTTATTTGGGTAGTCTATGCTCTAGCTTTATTCCCAAGTTGATCCCGTGGTATGTCGGAGTGCGGATATACACGAACACAATGTGTTTTCTAGTGTGTCTCATATACCGACAGACAAGTATAAGTATTGTTTAGTTTCTTATTACCTATTTCTCTTTCTCCTGTTGTTTTATTTGTCACACAATGTCTAATGGCCCTTTTATTTTTCCCTTCCGAATGACTACAGGAAAAGATTCCAAATAGGAATATTCCGTGCCTACATATATACCTCTGTTTCTGTAGCCTCTATGCAGTACCTCTGGTTCTGAAGTAACAATGGAGTTTCTTACTCGTTTTTCTCCATTCGAATCTACAATTTGGAACGAGCACCTAGCTTCACTGACGAACAGACTGACAGACTACTTCCCTATTTTGACGTTTGAAAAGTACCCATTTATGGTTTAGTTGAAATAAATTATTTTGACTTTGACTTCAGGTTCGTTTGCTGACCTATCCCATAAAAAAAAGTTTCATTAACTCGGTAGTATTGTTTGAGCTCTCTTGTACCTTGAAAGTAGTCGAACCAGTTCGAAATATTTCACGTATTATTTTATTGTTGCAGTACGTCTCTGGATGCACCAGACATGTGTGGAGTACGGTTGGTACCAGACTACCTCGGGTACGAATCACCCGTTCAAGTCCATTATGCCATTGGAGTATTACCATCATTTGTGCAGGGATATCTTCTCCAGCGAGTAAGTATGAGATAAAGAAAATAAAGAAAAAAACAACTTAATTACCCTTATTTTTCAATTTATTTTTAAAGGATGAATATCCGATCCCACCCTGGGTATGCGAGAGATAATGACCGAATCTTACTGACTTAGAAGGCCTAACTACAAAATAGAAAATAATTAGTACTGTTTATAGGGATGCAAACGAATGAAACAATGAATTTATTTTTGAAGGCCATAAAACGGCACTTTTACACGTCAAAATGGACGTATCACGTCAGCAGTAAGTGAAGTTACATCAATCAATCAATCAATAAGCTCTCTATCCTGAACTTCATATGTTGTGTGTGAGGTATTTGTTTTCCTCTTTTAGAGGATATCCCTTAGTTCAGTGTGCCTTCTGGCAAAGGCCTCCTCTAACATTTTCCATTGTATCCTATCTCTGGTAACCCTTCTCCAGTAAGGGCCCGCTGTAAGTTTTAGCTCGTCTTCCCATCTTTTGAGTTGTCTTCCTCGTTTCCTTTTTCCATCTCTGGGATACCAGTCTGTCACAATTTTACTCCACTTCGTGTGTCAAGTGAAGTTACATATGAACCCTTAAAAAAAGCATTACTTTACGCCAGTTGTCTTCAAGGTCGTGGTATCAATCCTCAACGACTCTCCCATGTGATAATTATTTATGATATATCGAAAATAATAACAGATCTCTTTTAAAGTCTGAACATAAAATCTCAGAATGGGATCTATTTCTTTTTTCTTTCTTTCTCAATACGTGCGTTATTTTTCACTGTGTAAGTGAGGTTACCAAAGGCCCAATCCTTCCCCCGCCCATCCTCAATCCTTAAATCCCTAATTACCCTCAAGAGGCCGGCAACTCACTAGTGATAACTCGGGGCCGATTGCTATCTAACAGGTTATCCATCTACGCGTTTATTGACTTATCACAAACCTAAAAGAAAAATAGTCGAAGAAGAAGAGATTACTGTAGTTTTAATCTCATTTCACAATCATATAACAAAGTTAAGTTAAGCACAACAAAATACGATAACTTCGTATCGGACCGTAAATATGTACCTATGTTAGTTGCGGTTATGTGTGACGCATAAGTTTGTGGTAGGGTCACGTCACCACCAACGTAATGGTTTAAATATAAGTATTTTATGTAGGATTTTATTCCTGATCCAAATCGAAAAACAAATTTGCGGAAGACTCATTTTTTGGCACGAATAGGCCGGCTCGGCGGGAGTGACAATACGGCTTTACAAAAAAACGGCGTTAAAAAACCACAATGTTGTGTTTCGCCGTATGAGTAAAGTTACCAGAGGCCCAATCATCTTTAAATCTTAAAAAAAAATAAAGCAGCCAGCAGCGAGTGTCCATGAGCGGCGCTGATTGCTTACCATCAGGTAATCCGTCTGCTCGTTTTCCGACATAATGACATAAAAAAGTGTCTGCATCACCCAAAGATTAGACTAGTAGAAAATTCTATGACACTTTGTCCACCATATCAATATGTATACGATATTTTTGTACATGAACCGTATTATACATATAAATAAATGTTGCCAAAGTAGTCGAAATGTACCTATTTGTGTCAGAGTAATAGACCATATAATTGAACGCCTCCCTCATTCTTCCCGTGGCGGCTACCGGTTTGACTAAGACCAGGCAACAGCAGAATTGATGAAACATGGAAGAGATCTGATATTTATGCAACTACTACGTCTGTTAACAGTTTCAATGAAGAAAAGCTGAGAGCAGGGATCGACCGTACGAAAATATTTTTCGGGGGCTGGGCTCATATGCCAGATCGCGTGGTATCAGTCGCTGGAGGTCACGACCCGTGGTCCCCATTGGGCCCCAACGAATCCCACGCCCATCATAACGCACCAGTCTACTTGGTACCCAACACTACTCACTGCAAAGCTATCCTGTAAGTATACAAAGCATTTATTTCCATTCCTGCGACCACATCTAAACCAAACCTCTAAAGCCCAAATCTCAGGTCAATTTTAATATTTTTGGGCCAAAATAACAACATAGCTATTGTGACTGCCTGAGATCTTTGTATGAAAACCAGAACCCTAAAATTCGCAATAATTTGATCTTATCTATTTTTCCCCTTTTGAGATGGTGAATGAAAATGTCATGAGGAACCCTGGACTTATAATTTCTAAAGAAATGAGAACTCGTCTTTAGCAAGCGTGGTGACTAATACGCAAACCTTCTCTGTGTGAGAAGATGCCTTTGCTAAGCAGTGGGAACTTATAAGCTGATGATGTGATTTTTCCCTTTTACAGGCCCACGAGCGTCCTTGACAGTTCAGAGTTAATCAGAGTGAGGAGGGCAGTAATGGACAGAATGCACGAGTTTGCTTCTACGAGACCTGACTCTCCAACAACAGTTCCACCGACAGATCCAACGACAGAGGCTGCGCCTGGTAGCGCGACCAGCGTTGCTGCCAGTACCCTAATGCTTCTCCTGACCACACTAGCTTTGGCCTAGAGAAGGAAACTTTATCAGATCACGTATTTAACAATGGAATGCAAAATTTGCTAACAGCAAAGCGCCAACTCATTATTTCCTGGTCATACAAACACAATGGTTAAAAAATGAGCAGGTGCTCATTCCTTTGGCACTTTAGCATTTAATCGTGATTATTGGCAAGTTTCCATTCATAGGGTATTCTGATTGTCACTTCTTTTGTAGCATGGCCTGCATATGTTGTTGCATGGACAGCCAGACTAATTCTTCTTGCTAATGCTTGATGATGTTCTTCTTATCTGTGCCTGTAGGTACATCAATTAGATTACCAGCGTTAAGTTGTCTTGTAAATAATGAATCGGCTTCGCATACTTTACCTACATATCAGATTGTTAAATATTCTCGTGTTATGCGTCTGAATAAATGTAATTCTTAATACTTTTCTTCTTTCTTTTTCTATTTTACTACTTTCCTGGTTTGGTTCACTCGCTCTCATGATCAGATTTTATATTTTCTTACTTACTTAATTCTTCTACTCCGGGTCGTGGTATATTAGTGCACCTGCTACTAGTGAGCTCCACCTGTGGTGGTCTATTGGCTCTTTTAACGTGACGCGCCGCACGCTCGAGTCTGGTTCTGATCGGGCGAGCTACCATTCCTTGACATCCGCAGACCTGCGCTAACAATGTTCGGAGATCATCGCGCGGTCCTGGACGCCCGAGGTGTCATCTGCGGCGGCTGAAGCGTGAGGGAAGTTAGTTTCCTCGCGCGCTCCGCCCCCTTCTTTGGGAATAAGAATAATTGCCAGTTCCTCTCACTCCGCTCCATGGCCTCAGCTAAAACCAGGCGCAAGAGGTCGCCGCCACCATTAGTTTTCTGAGAACTCGGTGATTCTCAGCACAAGCAAGGCACACCATCACCATAAGCTCCAACATGCCTTCTGCGTATGGCAAATCACTGGAAGAAAAATTGGTACTTTAAGTGGTTTTTTGATGCACAGAGAGCAGCATGCCTAAATTACTAGACTTCTTTTTCGAAGCTAGGCAATATTTAGGTCTCAATTATACAGCTGCTAATGTATTTCATCATGAGTGAGACTTGCGTATCTATGATTCGATACGCAGGGTGTTTCACATAATTGTATGCAGTTTATAAAGCATCGAAAAATTTTAATGTTACCAAATTCTCAATTGAATTTAATAATTATGCAAACTTTGATCCCGTTCCGTCCAATACAAACCAAAAGTGAACCTGCTGTCAAAATCTATAAGAACTGTAACTATATACACCTCTGGAGCAACAGCAACCTGTCCATTCCTCTTTCTCGCCCAAAAGTTTCACGCTTTAACACGACATGGTAGGCCCTCAGATGGCACTAAAACTAGGAAGGCTTTTTTTGCAAGGGGAAAATCCTTAAGTGACTTCTCCCGCCCAGGGTCAGGCGGAAGGGAGTATCAGACTCTTCTCTTCTCTGACTAAAAACCTTCCGTTCCATCTCCTGCTCTAGAAGTCTGGAAACGAAACATCAACTTAAGTACTTTGTGTATTATAAATCTTAGTGTATCTGTATTTCTTTTTGGTAATCGCTAATAAATAAGGTCGTTTAATAGATATGGAGTAAACAAGTAGGTGGATTACCTAATAATTTTGTGGTCAGAGCCAACACCCGATGGACAAAACGTTTCTAAAATTAGATACCTATACTAAATAATGTGACTGATTATGTATGTAACTATCTGTGTAGGAATGTGCTCTGGATCGTAATAAATATATAATTTATCCTTATATGAGTCAAAATATGTTCAATAACTGTATAAAATAAACAGCTTAGTAAACTATTGTAGCAGTGCATTTGTCGTTTTGTCGTAGATAAGTCACGATGTTGCTAAAACTGATTATTCTTTTGTTTCTTGTTGTGGCCACGACCACAGTAATTCAAGGGTCGTTTATCAAAACGTGTCCAGTCGGCAATATCTATCATCCAGTGTTAGATAGATGTGTTCATTCCGAAAATGATGATCAAACGTAAGTAGTTTTTTTTAATTCAATTATTATAGTCAGTATAAATGTGGGAGGGCCACATTTATACTGACTATAATACGGCACGAATGGGTCGAATCGACCGGAGTGATACCACGGCCTTACAGAAAGCCGGCATGAAACAACTACAGCGTTGTGTTTCGCCGTGTGAGTAAGGTTACCGGAGGCCTAATCCTTCCCCTCCCCCAATTCCTCAATCTCCAATCCCTAACCCAAAGGCAGACAACGCACATGTAACATTTATGTTGCGGGTATCCATGGGTGGCGCTGATTGCTTGCGTACCATAAGGTAATCCTTCAGCTCGTTTACTGAGGTAACATAGATACTCTATGTGATGATTAGCTAATTAGTTGTTTAAGGCCTAAATATATAACAGTCACTATATTTTAAGGCCAATATTGTGGTTTGAGTTTCCAAGTACTTAAACCTAGTGTTTTCACTTATTAACTAAACAAGTTTCAATAATTAAAAAAAAAATTATTATTAAAAAAACAAAATACCCGACTGCACACTAAAAAAAGAGTAAAACAAGCCCCACAATACAAATTTACTGAATATAATTTATAAATGTTGATGGAAAGCATCGCAGGCGGGGACCAACAGAGGCTTATTTATAGTCATTTCTGTTGTGCACCATTTAGCAGAATTTTCGTTGGTGGCGGTCAAGGTGGTCCCCGCCTGCGATGCTTTCCATCAACATTTATAAATTATATTCAGTAAATTTGTATTGTGGGGCTTGTTTTACTCTTTTTTTAGTGTGCAGTCGGGTATTTTGTTTTTTTAATAATAATTTTTTTATTTATAACTTTTTCCCGTGGGAATTTTGAGAAAAAACGTATCCTATATTAATTACTCCCGTGATTGAAATGAATCTAATGATACCGCATACATATTTTTTTAAAGGAAAATTTAGAAAAAATATTATTATGTCTTTATCCCGTGGGACTTTTAGGATAAAATGTATCCTATGACACTCCCGTAATCAAGACAAATCTAACGATACCTCATACATCAAAATCCATCAAGCCGTTTAGGCTACAGGAGGTCACAAAGGAAAAGACATACATACATACTTACATACACTCGAAAAACATTACCCTCCTTCTTTGGCAGTCGGGTAAAAAAGACTGATCCGCTCCTTCCTACACTTCATATTATTTATTTTATTTTTCACGTCAAAAGCTTGTATGTTAATCTTAATACTTTATTTTCTTTCATTGTTTCAGGGACCCCAATATATATGATATGTTTTACAGTTATTAAAGAAAACTGTCATAAGGATGCATACTGGATGTTCTTCAAGGATACATTGGACAACATCTTTGCATATAATACAGTATGTAAGAGCCTCCCAGCCTGGAATGAAATTGGCGCTAATCTCTCACATGTCATTTTATTCGCGCAAGTTTTTGTCGCCTGATCTGACAGGCTTCAATATTGTTAGTATTACAATACAAATGTAGCAAAATATGTTAAATAAATTAGTTACTAGTTATATAATTACTCATTTGTTTTCATTTTAACCATAGGAAAACGCAGGGTAAGTAATTAATGTAGGTATAACACGTCAATACCTTTTCCAACAATTCTGAATAAGTACATTTACAAATAATTATACTATGGAGGAAACCCTATAAAACAAGGAGCCTTTGTTTGGTTATGGTTTAAGTCTCATGACCCTTTTTTGAGTCATATTATTACTGACTAGTCATATTATTAGTTATACTAATGGGTGATAGTACAGGTGTTAGAAAGAGGGACATTCTGAATGGTGTCAACACCTTATTAAAGCTAGATTCAGGAAAGATAGTATTATGTGCTTTCCCATATTCAGACACTCTGTCAGTGTCTGAGAATCAGAGAATACATAGTATAAATGATATGATATTCAGTTTGACATGTCATAGTGACAATTTATTGTTTTTTGACACTAACAAATTTGTTAGTAGTTTTAAATTGACTAGGAAGTCTTTGTTAATTCCTAGAAAATGTAAAGTATTACTTGCTAGCCTTCTAGCAAATATTATTAATCTAGTATTAAGTGACGAAACTATATTATTTAGACATTCTAATAATGTAGTGATTGATTGTACATATTATAGTACGACGGAGACTCAACACTTAGGGACAAATGTGGGTAGCACTCCAGATAATTTTTTAAATTAAATTTGGAGACAACAGAAGATAACCTAATGAATTCTCATACTACAAATTATCAAAAGGTTTCTTCTCGCCGCATATTATATAATAAACACAAACAAGGAAATATTACACTCCTTAGTCAAAATATTCAGGGCATTTCATCCAAATTACTAGAATTGGAATTATTTTTAGAAAAAAATAAATTTGACATAATTTGTATAACAGAGCATTGGATGAAGAAGTATCAAGTAGAATTTATGAGTTTTAAAAACTATTGTGTTGGTAGTTTCTTTAGCCGTCAAGCAATGATTCATGGTGGTAGTTTAATTTTATTAAAAAACTCAATTAAGTATAAAGAAAGACAAGATATAACTTCACTTTCCATTGAACATACAATAGAATTGTCCTGTGTAGAGCTGGATGGGCATGTTGTGATATGCGTCTATAGACCTCCAAACTTACAAAACTTAAACGTTTTTAACTCTGTTATGGAACAAGTGTTGCAGAAAACGTGTTCGAACAGTAAATTTACAATAGTATGTGGCGATTTTAATATTGATCTCTTGGAAAACAATTCTAATTGTATTAATTTAGTAAGTCTTTTTAAATCTTTTGATTTGTCTAATGTATTCCTTGAGCCCACCCGAGTAACATCCACCTCGGCTACATGTATAGATAATATATTTTGTAACTGTGATTATTTGCACAAAAATATTGTTAATAGCTTACCATCAGATCACAGTGGGTTAACAATAAACTTAAACAACATCACAACGGTGCCAAAAAAGGAAATAATGTTTAGACATATCACGGATAAAAAAGTTGAGTCATTAAATAATAATTTAAAGCAAATATTATGCAGCCCATCACATGATTATGAAGGTCCAAGTGAGATTTATGCCAACTTACTGGCCATTATTAAAACCCAATTTGATAAATTATTCCCCTTAAAACGTAAAATCATTGAATGTAAATTTGTAT